TTCTACAGTGTTGCCCATATCACTAGATGAGATCAACTGTTTACCGTCCTCATCCATGTAACTGTTAAACAATGATAAAGTAAAGATGTTAACATATATAGAACAGGGCATGAACTTGTTCAAATAAAAAAACAAACAAACAACCTACAAACTGCAAAAGGAAAAAGAAATATAAATGCAAAAGGATAGGTTAACTAAAGTGGAAAAATGAGAAAACAACCTGCTGCTATAATCATAGAACTCTTCTAACTCTGCCTCCTCATCTTCACCACCATCACCATAATGCACTTTGCAATGACTTTTTGCTTGCATATGCTTCCTAACTGCTTCCAAGCCGTTAAAAGGATGGCACCTGTCATTGCAGTACAAACACATGAAGTCCCTCTTTACCTGTAAAAAAGAAGAAGCATGTAAGTGAAACTAAATTGTGGTTTATGAAAAAGTAAATTTGTTAACCAATATTATACAAATAAAGAACATAATATAACCCATAATCACTACCTTAAGACCAAGATAAGTAAGCAGGCCTCTAGGATCCCTCAGATACTCAACATCAGGAATGAAGAAACCATGATGCTTGTGCATGTGAACCATGCAGCTCTCAATCGTCTCATGCTCAAGATCACACAGGAAGCAGCAAGATGGATCAAACTCCTCGAAGTCCTTATCTTCATCCTCCATGACATCATCAGAGGTGGATCCCACATTCAAATTAGTCAGGGACTTTGCAGCCTCACCAACCAATTCTTCTTCTGAATCAATCTCCTCCCATTCATCTTCACTTTCTTCGCTTTCTTCATTGTCAGCCTCTCTTCGAGGAGGAGGCTTATTTACAGCACGACGCGGATGTGGCTTAATTATTACCTTCTCACTGTCTTCATCATTCATTCCTTGAGAAGCCCGCATGATGTGGCTTTTTGATTGAAGATGCTGTGCATGAGCCTTGGAACTTCTATACCCCTTTCCACAAAGCCCACAACTATAAAGCATCGGAGTTTCACTCAACTTATTCTTCTCTTGAACAAGGGCTGATTGTCTAGCCAGAAATAACGCTTCTGTCACTCCTGGAACCCCAGCTACCTAATTTATTTACAAAAGAAAATTATTAATTTTACATTCATTAACTAGGGCTCATTTGGTTGGTTCCGAAAGTAATTTTATATAAAAAAAATGAGTTGTATCTAAATAATTTTAATATCTGGTAATGTAAGTTTCAGATTTAAAACCTAAACAACCCTTTTTTTTTTTTTTTTTTGGGTTTTCTAATTTTACACTAGGTTTTAGGATTCATTCAAAAATCAATTTTTGGGAACACTTCAGTCTATTTCAATCAACGTGTGTGTTATCATAAAATTTGTTCTATCACTGTATTTATATTCTCCATCACCATTTGCTTGACAGCCCAAAGGTCCTCAAACCCCCAAGCCAACCTAAATGTAATTTGTTAAGCAGCAACAAAAGACCATTATAGCAAATTCATAGACCTCACAGAGGTATAGCTTATATTTTCCCTAAAAAAATTGACATATTAGAAACAATATAAAACTAAACAAGATACAACCTTTAAATCATAAAATTCCAGCATCCAAAATTTCCAAACATAACTACTTGAATCATCTTTCAGTTAATCAAGTGTTTTTATTTTTATTTTTCTCTTCTAAAACAATAATAAAAATGAAAAACTAAGGAAGCAAAAGGACCTTGCGTTTGAGATTGTAGCGATGCCAATCGGACTTGTAATGAAGCTTCTGTTCGGTGTCATCGCTGAATTCTTTGTTACAAGCATTACAGGTTAGTCCTGGCATTTCTTTCTCCTTCCGATATTTGATTGCACACAACAAAATTGGTGGGGAACTCAAAACACGACCCTGCGTTTAGATATTTATACGACTCAATACGACGGCTCGTAGACGGTGAGACGTGAGACGGTGAATATTTATGATTATGATGAATGAATAAACGAGTTTCCAGCAGTTGCTTGCGCAACCCCGACGGCACAATATTATACCCCCATTACCCGTGAACCGACCCGATTTATTATTAGGTTTGTGTCCTTTACGTTTTTAGTATTGGGCTTAGTTTTTTGAACTTTAGCCCACATTCTGAGGAGGGCCCAAATCTACGGCCTTTATTTTTTTTCCTGGGTAAAATTTTTTTTTTTTCCAAATAATTAATAATGATTTGTTATTTTTTTATTTGTTATTATTATTTTTTTAAATATCTGAGGTATCTATGGAACCTGTCTAATCCTCGGGGCCACATAATAATCTAAAAACCTAATGAACCAAGATAATTATATAAATGTGATACGTATTTCTTATGCGATTCGAACAGAAGACCTATCGGTAACACCTAATGGAACAATTATCTGTAATAAATTTTTCTTTAAATTTGATATAAATATATGTATTAATTATGAGACATGTTCGAAATTTATTTCAACGGTTGTTATATGTCATTCTCACTAAAGGATTTCCTGGTAGTTACCATACTATTTTCCTCTGTATTTTTTTTCTATTTAATTAGACTTCAGCAGAGTAAAGAACATTAAAAAGGAAAATTTTCAGAGGTTTTGTTTGTTTTGTATAGAAATTAGAAGCAACGAGGTTCTGCAGATAGAGTTAAGTATGGTCATTGCTTCATGCATTATGTTATCAGTTTATTATAATATTAGATACTTAAGGATTAATTATAGTAATCAATATTATTGTAATTGAGAAAGTTCCATTAATTTTTGGTCTTCAATAAAGTGGGATGTTGTCATCCTGCGTATTTCTTTTTCTGGTCTTCAACGTTTGTATTTGTTAACAGATTTTCGTTACATGACATCAATTTCAAATCCTCCTAGTTCAGATATACCAGATCTTAATGAAATTCTCAACCCGCCTGCCCCAGATACCCAAGTTAATACTGCAGTTCAGAAAACAATCGTTTATAATCTGAGTTCTATTAACAATAACTTTATTTAAATGATCACAATTTGAAATGATAAATAATAACTGTAGCCGCCATATCGAGCTTGGTAGTGCTCGAAGTAATTGGTGTTATTGCTTACAAACGTGCAAAGAAAGCCAGAAAAGTGATTGTACAAGATTTGCAAGCAGTTGTTGCTGCAGCAAACTACACACCCCACAATATGGTTCCAGTTTGGGAGGTTACTTCTACTACCATGGAGAATTTCCTCCAAGAAATGGCAAAGGAGAAGCCTGTAAGATTTAAGGCAAAACAGCTATTTTGTTTTACGAGTAATTACTCAGCTAGGTTGGGTTCTGGAGGTTTTGGGGCAGTCTACAAGGGTCAGTTTCCAAATGGATTGGAGATTGCAGTAAAGGTTCTTAATAGAAGTCTAGACAGAAGAGCTGAAGATGAGCAGTTCGTGGTGGAAATTGGCACAATTGGAAGAACATAGCACATAAATCTAGTTAGACTTTATGGTTTTTGCCATGACCAGTACATGAGCACACTTGTTTATGAGTACATGGAAAATGGCTCTCTTGACAAGTACTTGTTTAGCGAGATACAGACAATCGAATGGGAGAAGTTACATGCAATTGCGATTGGGACAGCCAAAGGTTTAGCTTACTTGCATGAAGAATGCCAGCAAAGAATCATTCATCATGACATAAAGCCTGAAAATATTCTGCTAGATGTAAATTTCTTTCCTAGAGTGGGAGATTTTAGACTCGCAAAGCTTTGTAATAGAGACAGAACACATGTTACACTCACAGGATATAGGGGGGCACTCTTGGCTATTCAGCAACAGAATTTCTTGTTAAAGAATTTCCGAATAACACATAAACGTGAAGTTTACAGCTTTGGAATGGTACTGTTTGAGATAATTGGTAGAAGAAGAAATACAACTGTTGGTCCTAGCGATAGCCTTGAATGGTTTCCTAAACATGTTTGGGAAGCATTTGAGAAAGATGAACTGAATATAATGACAGTAGCTTGTGGGATTGAAGAGAAAGACAGAGAGAAAGCAGAGAGAATGAGTACTGTGGCATTGTGGTGTGTACAAGACTCACCACAAGGAAGGCCACCAATGAGTGCAGTGGTAAAGGTGTTGGAGGGAGGAGTGGAGATTGTGCCACCTCCAAAACCATTTCAGTATTTGTTTTCAGTGGGGATGGCTCAGCTTCAGTCAATAGAACCTACAGATGGTTCAAGTTACAGCACAAGTGAAGAAAGTCAGTCTCGCTGGTACAAGGAGACCACTCCAATCATGGCCAAGTATGAAATGCAGATGGCTAGTTCTGTATAATAACCAAGCTAGTAGTCCCCCAAAATGACAGAGTTGATCGTATTATTGGAAAGCTTTTGTTTTACATCCCTATTATCTTGTAACATAACAAGGGTTTATTATAAATGAAGTTTTGAGGTTTTTATCAAAATTAGAACATAAATTATAAAATCTGTATTTTAATAAGATAAACCAACTTATGAATTATTAAAAAAAAAAAAAAAAGGGGGGGATTATTTTGGATTTTCATTGAGTCATATAGAAGTATTTTGGGTTCACACCCTAATTTGATACTAAAGAAAATTTCAAAGTTCCTTGAGAATCAAGCATGATCTACACGACTTGTAGGCATGGTTTATAGTGAGAAAATCCTTAATTAATGAAGTTGAGGTTTGACTTCATATTCGGCGGTGTGCTTGATAATGATAACTAGTCGAATTTTCTTAAATCAATCCTTTATTTAGTTTGAGTTTTGAGACGTGTTTGAATGTTATTTCAATGATTCATTCTTTATATGTTATTCTCAATCAAGGTTCTTGATTGCTTATTTCCAATTTCCTGGTAGTTTCCGTAGTATTAAAATTACAAATTCTTCAACTTTGCTCGAAACTTCGTCCTCTTTTCCTCTTATAGTTAAGATTAACTTAAGGACAGCGAAGAACATAAACAAAGGAACATTTGCAAGAGGTTTTTGCGTCTTTAATTTGTTTACAAGCAGATTTTCTGGGATATTTTCATTCTGTGTTATTCTCTTTCTGATCTTCAACATTTGTAATTTTTAACAGTTTTTAACTATCAATGGCATCATCTCTCAATCCGCCTACCCCAGATTTAAATGAAGTTCAAGAAAACTTCAACCAAACCGCCACTACTTGGATAATCATCTGTAAGTTTTCTCTCTTTCAATATGCTATGGAATGAATTAAATAATATATATTATGGGATGATATCAACAGTTACTTTGTTTGAATTCTTACTATTTGAAATTATATATTATTCATGATATTAATAGTAGTAGCTTTGTTTAAATTCTCATTACTTGAAATGATAAACATTAACTGCAGCCGTTATATCGAGCTTGGTTGGGCTTGGAATAATTGGTTTTATTGCTTATAAATGCGCAAAGAATGGCAGAAAAGTGATTGTGCAAGATTTACAAACAGTGGCTGCTGCATACAACAGGCCCCACAACACCAACGCGGTTCCAGTATGGGAGGTTACTGCTCCCACCATGGAGAATTTCCTCCAAGAAATGGCGAAGGAGAAGCCCGTCAGATTCACAGCACAGCAGCTATTTTCCTTTACAAATAATTACTCAAATAGGTTGGGTTCTGGAGGTTTTGGGTCAGTCTACAAGGGTCAGTTTCCAAATGGAGTAAAGATTGCAGTGAAGGTTCTTAAGCGGAGCGAAGACAGAAGAGCTGAAGATGAGCAGTTCATGGCGGAAATTGGCACAATTGGAAGAACATACCACATAAATCTGGTTAGACTTTATGGTTTTTGTCATGACCAGTACATGAGCGCGCTCGTTTATGAGTACATGGAAAATGGCTCCCTTGACAAGTACTTGTTTAAGGAGACACAGACAATCGAATGGGAGAAGTTACATGAAATCGCAATCGGGACAGCCAGAGGTTTAGCATATTTGCACGAAGAATGCGAACAAAGAATCATTCATTACGACATAAAGCCTGGAAACATTCTATTAGATTCAGCTTTCATCCCGAGAGTTGGTGACTTTGGACTTGCAAAGCTTTGTAACAGAGACAACACCCATGTTACACTCACAGGATATAGGGGGACTCCTGGCTATTCAGCACCAGAATTTTTGTTGAAGAATCATCCAATAACTCATAAATGTGATGTTTATAGCTTTGGAATGGTACTGTTTGAGATAATTGGTCGGAGAAAAAATGCAAGTGTCGGTTCTACTGATAGCCTTGATTGGTTTCCTAAACATGTTTGGGAAGAATATGAGAAAGGTGAACTGGGTGCAGTGACATTAGCTTGTGGGATTGAAGAGAAAGAAAAAGAGAAAGCAGAAAGAATGAGTAAGGTGGCATTGTGGTGTGTACAAGACTCACCAGAGGGAAGGCCACCAATGAGTGCTGTGGTAAAAATGCTAGAGGGAGGAGTGGAGATTGTGGCACCTCCAAAACCATTTCAGTATTTGTTCTCACTGGGAATGGCTCAGCATCAGTCAAAAGAAACTACAGATGGTTCAAGTTACAGCACAAGTGAAGAAAGTCAGTCTCGCTGGTACAAGGAGACTACTCCAATCATGGCCAAATATGAAATCCAGATGGCTAGTTCTGTATAATAACTAAGCTAGTAGTCCCCCAAAATGACAGAGCTTATCTTATTATTGAAAAGCTTTTGTTTTACATCCCTATTATCTTGTAATATAACAAGGGTTTATTATCAAAATTAGAACATAAATTATAAGATCTGTGTTTTAATAAGATAAACCAATGAAAAACCAATTTACCTTGGTTTCTATGTGCTCTTGACTGAGACGTGGTTCTTGTTGGCCGTAGTGCAATCGTTATTTAATTTTTATGCAGTAATCTTTCAATAAAATTGAACAATTATTTCGCATGATAAGTGCTCTTCATAATCTGAAAAATTGTTGATTCTTTAAAATATATATATATATATATTATTCCATGAAAGCTAAGTAATTTGGTATTTGTTTATTGTTTTTTATATCACCATATGATCCTTACGCGTGTACCTACAATTGATGCTCACCCTCTTTGAAGCTCCTTTTCTGATCTTGAATGTTTATATTTGTCTTCCAATTTTATTTTACCCGAAGAAAGTTCAATCTTTGAAATCTGGTTAGAGTTTGTGGATTTTTGTTAGAATTTTGTCTTCTGGCTTTGACTTTTTTTCTTTATAATTAGGGTGTTTGGACCTACAAATGTCATTCTAGTGAAGGTTCTTGGCGCTCTCTATTTTCCAAAATGTCAAGAATTCTCAGTGCGGGTTTGAGTTGTGTGGATTGTAGCAGGCTTTGATTGAGTGTTTGGTCTTGAGTTGTGGTTGGGCCGTCTGGGTTTTCTGTATTTGTTGGGTTGATCTCTATTTTGTATTTCTAATGAAATGTTTGCAGTTTGTTTTCAGGGACAAAGTGGAGGCTGAGGTGATTGGCTCTAACCGAGTATCTGTCTGGTTTCAGGTACAGAATGAGAGGCCAGGTTGAATTGTAAGCGGAAGCTTTTAGCAATGTTCTGATAACATGTAAGGAGTCGAGAAAGAGAGGCAAAGAGGAGTAGTTCAAGACAATGATACTGCCGGAGTATGCCAAAGAGAAAAAAAATAAAAGAGAAAAATTTATGTATATTGTATTGTAAGCCTATACGATGGCTAATTTATACAAGTTCTGTAAATGTAAAATAGGAAAGAAATAAATAACAAATCCCTGTAATTCAATCAATCACATAAATTAAGGTGATTGATTGAAACCTTACTCCTTAATCTCAGCCAATAGAGATCAAAGGAAATCAATAATAAATGTATCGCATTCCATATTTCGTCAAAATACTTCAAATATATGACTATGGAGCATCTTTAGTTGATGAATTTTGTCTTCCAACTTTGACTTTTCTTTATAATTAGCGTGTTTGGACCAATAAATGTCATCTTAGTGAAGGTTCTTGGTTCTCTCTATTTTCCAAAATGTCATCCTCTATTCCTCTTTATATTAAGAAATTTCTATTTAAAATATAGAAAGTAAATAAGATATCAGAGATTCAGAGGCTTTTGTGTCTTTTTGTTTAGAAGCAAGGAGTTTCTGCAGATAGATTTAAAGTATGGTCATCGACTTATTGCAATGTTTGTTTTATTATAATATTAGATACTTAAGTATGCTTTTTGTTTTATGTTTATTTTTAATTATCATTAATTTACTTTATGGTAATTAATATTGTACATGACATAAGAAAGTTCCATCCATTTTTGGCCTTCAAACAAAGTGGGATGTTTTTTTCATTCTGTGTTATGTTTTTTCTGATCTTGAACGTTTATAATTGTTAACAGATTTTAACTACCAATGGAATCCCCAGATGCTAATGGATTTCAGAAAAGCTTCAACACTTATATAATCATCTGTAGGTTTTTTTTTTAGATTTAGTATGTTATACAGTATTATTCATGATGTTAATAGTAGCTTTGTTTAAATTATCATTACTCGAAATGATCAACATTAACTGCAGCCATTATATCGAGCTTGGAATAATTGGTTTTATTGCTTATAAATGCGCAAAGAATGGCAGAAAAGTGATTGTGCAAGATTTACAAACAGGGGTTGCTGCATACAACGGGCCCCAAAACACCAACACGGTTCCAGTACGGGAGGTTACTACTCCCACCATGGAGAATTTCCTCCAAGAAATGGCAAGGGAGAAGCCTGTCAGATTCACAGCACAGCAGCTCTTTTATTTCACAAATAATTACTCAACTAGGTTGGGTTCTGGAGGTTTTGGTGCTGTCTACAAGGGTCAGTTTCCAAATGGAGTAAGGATTGCCGTCAAGGTTCTTACTAGAAGTCTAGACTAAAAAGCTGGTTCTGAACCATTTGCAAAAAATTCTTCAAAGTCTGAATACATCATACTTGAACTGCAGCAGAAAAAGCCATGTAGTTCTAGTAAAATCATCTACCACATTGAGAAAAAACCTTGCATTACCTTGAGTGGCAACTTTTACGGACCCCAGACATCCAAATGCAACAGTTCAAACACATGAGATGTGGCAGTGTTATTGGAGGGAAAGGATAATCTAGTATGCTTGGCTAAAGGACAAGTTTCACAATAGAATTTGTGATGATTATTAAAACCATGATACAATTCCTGCAAAGTTGATAAAGGAGCATGTCCTTATCTCTTGTGCCAAAGAACAACATCCTTAGTTTGAGACTATGTTTTTATTGAAGAATCAGTAGCTACATTGAGAGATTTGCAGTCTGTTTCTCTATTACAATCAGAAACTTTGATTTACAAATTCTTACTCAAAGCTGAAACAAAACCAGGAAAATACAAGCTGATTTTTGATATTGGCATGAAGTGATATATGTTGGAGTTGTCGACTACTTCAGCATTAATGGGTAACGGAGACGCACTCGTAGGCGGTTTTGGGCTTTTCCATGTATAACCGCTGTAGGATTCCTTTTAAGTTATTAATTCCTTTTTGGGTTGGGCTTAGGAATAGGAATTCTTGTAAAACTAGGTTTAATCTCTTAAACCTAGTATATAAACATACTTTTCTCTTGTTATGGGTGTGAGAACAATTCATTCATTGTAAACGAGAGAGGTGAGGCATATTGCAATAATATTGACTCAGCTGGACGTAGCCTACATTGGGTGAACCAGGGTAAATCGCGCGTATTACATTCTTTGTTTACTGTTTGTTTTGTTTAACTATTATTATTTTGTTCCTGTTGCTTCTCTATTTCGTTCAATATAGCCCCTGGTATTGCTTACCAATCCCCTTTAGTTTGCCCCTCCAAAGATCCTGGATCACACAAAAATTCGGATAAAATATGATAGTACACTGACCATTAGAGGCTAACTTAGAAATTAACAACAAATTGTACTTAAAATCTGGTATGTATAAGACATTATCCAATGACAAATTTTCTCGTAGGCTGACAGAACCAACATGTTGAATTGATGTTTTTTTTCCATTTGGGAGACTAACATAACCAGGCATAGATGGTTTACTATGCAAAATTTCTGATACCATGAGTTATATGGTCAGTGGCCCCCAAGTCAAGAATCCAATCATCAATAACATCACAGTTTGAATATAGGGAAACAATCTTACTTGCCAGATTAGCTAATGGCGCTCCCAGGTTCTCCTTTCCCAACAACTAAATCAATTGAGCATACTGCTCTGGAGTCAAAACATTGTCTAAGCTAACTCCTTCTCTGCTACTGTCAATTGCTGATTCAGTGTGTATAGCCGACTCTTGACTTGAATGAACTTGATTGGCTTTAGCTTTTTATCTCGACTTGTTCTTGCAAAATTGAAAATCTGTTGGATATCCATGCAATTTGTAACAATTATCCCTCTTATGTCCTGCTATATGATAGTAATCACATTCAACATAGAGCTTCTTCCCTTTATATTTTGAACTCTGAGTCTGATTTCTCTGATTCCCTTGTGAGTAAAGTGCTGTAGCAACTTCAGTGTTCTGATTAAATCCAGTCAAGACCTTTTGGCTTTCATCTTGACTTACTATTGAGTAAGCTTGTTTGACCAAAGGTAAGGGAACCATTAACAAGATTTGGCTTCTCACCAATGCATATGAGTCATTAAGTCCTATCAAGAACTGTAGTAGTTTTTGTTGATTAAGATGTGCCAAATAGGCTTTAGCTTATTCACTATTAGGTGATGGTAAACTTAGCAATGAACTAAGTTCATCCCATAGAGTTTTCAATTTATTGTAACATACTGCAACTAAGTTAGTTCCTTGTACAATGTTAATTATTTCCCAGTGAATACGAAAGACTCTTGTGCCATTGACCTTGTTGTATTGTTCTCAAAGATCTTGCCAAGCTTGATACGCACTAGTAGAGTATACAATGCTGTTGAATATTTCTTTTAAAACAATGTTAAAAATCCAAGCTAACACCAAAGAATTACAACGTTCCCACTATGCATGAAAAGCTTGATTGAAACTTGCATTTTCACAAGATCCATCAACAAAACCTAATTTGTTCTTTGCCCTCAAAGAAATTGTCATCTCACAACTCCAAATTCCGTAATTCTCCATTCTTGTGAGCTGCTCTAAAATAAGAACTGAACTAGGGGTATCTGATGGATGTATGTAGAGTGGTGAACTTGAGTCAGTAACATTCGACATTCTGAGATGAATTTATTTCAACTTATACAAGAATTTAGCTGAACTAATAACAAATTTCAACTAAAGAATAGCTGAATGAAATCACTCTATTGATTTTGGGATTCGGAGAGATTTGAAGGAATAATGAAAATACAGACTTGATTTTAGCTTGATTCTTCAATCCAAGCTACTCATCTTGCAGTTAAAAAACGTTGCTCTGATACCATGAACAATTTGTATTTGAGAGAAGAAGAAATTTTATTCAACTCAAAAATTAGTTTACAAGAGGTTTGTTACAGTTTATATATATATAGGTAACTGTTGGTTTTTAGAGCTGGAGTATACTAAGAAAAGAGGACCAAAAACTGACGTGAGAGAGAGCTGTAGAGAGAGAAAATCTGAACTGAAATTTACTCTGTTTTACATTCAAAAAACAGGGGTAGATTTATACAAAGCACACGCCACTGTTCCACCTAAAGCTGCAAATTTAAAATTTAAACTAAACACACCAACTAATGCACGTACAAACATATCAAAATACATCATTTTATCAACCTAATTCACCTAAACACATCACTGAAATATTTCTTAAACAGTGACCAAAAAACAACTTCTGCATGCACAGCAGCATTTCAAACCGTGGCGCCAAAATCTTGCAACTCCCACCATGTGTTGACTTCATCATTTCCAGCATGGTATCACCATTCAACAGTAACCATGGTTGAGCTAACCACAGTTAAATAACCATAACAACTAACTAACTAATTAATCAACTAACTAACTAACTGATTAATTAACTAACTAAAACTAATTACACTAATAATCCAAGAATTACGACATAAAGTCTGGAAACATTCTACTAGATTCAAATTTCATGGCCAGAGTGGGTGACTTTGGACTTGCAAAGCTTCGTAATAGAGACAACATTCATGATAAACTCACAGGATATAGGGGGACTCCTGGCTATTCAGCACCAGAATTTTTGTTGAAGAATCATCCAATAACGCATAAATGTGATGTTTATGGCTTTGGAATGGCACTGTTCGAGAACCGACGGTTCTGGTGACGATAGCCTTGATTGGTTCCCTGAACGTGTTTGGGAAGAATATGAGAAAGATGAATTGGCTGCAATGGCATTAGCTTGTGGGATTGAAGAGAAAGACAAAGAGAAAGCAGAGAGAATAAGTAAGCTGGCATTGTGGTGTGTTCAAGACTCACCAGAGGCAAGGCCACTAATGAGTGATGTGGTAAAGATGTTGGAGGGAGAAGTGGAGTTTAAGCCACCTCCGAAGCCATTTCAGTATTTGTCCTCATTAGGAATGGTTCAGCCTCAGCCAATAGAAACTACGCATCGATCAAGTCATACCACAGGTACTGAAGGAACTCAGTCTCGGCGGTTCAAACAGACCACTCCCACTATGACCAAGGACGGAACCCAGATAGCTACTTCAGTACAATAACTGAATTTGATGCCCCAAAACGGCGGAAGATCTTGTTACATGTTTAGTGGTTCTGCCGAATTTTTTTTTTTTTTTTTCTGCTTTTAATATTGGTTAATGTTGACCATCTAAGTCAATGAATTTGTCTTCAGATTTAATTTTCATGAACTTTGCTTAGCGTTTGGAATTTTACTTTTCATGTACTTCAATCTCAATGAAGGTAATTAATTACATTTAATTCCATTGCAGGTTCCGTAGAGTTTAATCAATGGAACTTAGTTAGAATTACCATAACTAGTGACAAACAACCATCTACCATCGTTTATCCATAAGCCAAAATGTCTTAGTTGAGAATCTGAAAAGGAAGGAATTGTGTGGTTAAATTAGTCAAACTGAGAACGACTGGTTTGGTTAAATCACTGTAAAATACTAAAATCTTATACCATTTTCAAGTCTTAGAAGAGATACACAGTAAGAAATGAAGACAATAATGAGTTAATACGTACAAAAATATTTCAATTTCTAATAAAAATATTAAGTGATTGCGATTGCCTTATTTACCTAGGCTTGAGCCGGCACTGACTTGTTTTTAAGTATGTTAATTTGATTATTAATTAGTCATATACTGTAATACATTGAAGTAAACGACTTTTTCCCACCCAAGGTTTGCTTTAATGACATTTTCTCACCCAAAAAGTTTTAAAATACCACTTTTCCGATCAAAGTTTATAGTTCGTTTAATACTCAAAATACACTTCACTTTCTTAACTCACGTTCAGTGAATTACCAGGAGCTGGGGTAAAAGGGGTTTTGTAGTGTCAAGACCGGTAGATCAAATGGTGATGAGTGGTGACCGATTAAATATTTATCGTTAGAATCAGCCGAAAATTAATTAAGAACAAGAAATCTTAGCTTTGCGGTGGCCGGCAATCAGTGAGAAATTAGGTGTTAGAGTGAGAAGGGTTTTGTAGAGAGGAGACCGAAGTTTCAAATGATGGTGATGGAGATAATTTTCGCCGTCGAAATCGGCTTTGATTAATAACGGAATATTAACTTTGGGTGGAAAGAAGTCAGTTTACTCATACATTAATCCTATCTATATATACGATGCTTGTAAAATCCTTGGGAATCCCACCATTACAAGACACATTCTCATTAGAATTTTGAGGGGAATATACCGATTGCTTTACTTCTTGTGAGTTCAAGTGGGTTAATTAATATTTGATTAATCCATGGCCAGACACCGATTTTGTTCTGCATGATGAAACATTTTGATCGGTTATCTTTTAAGCTCCAAATCTAAGCCTTGGGTTGTAAATGGACGTGTTGTTTAAAAACCAGATAAACTTTGGTTCTTTCCTCTCCCATTCTCTCTTTCTCTATTATTGTAACTTGTTTCTATTATTTGATCTTCAATGTTATCACTGGCAGATCAGTAGGACATGAGCTTTGTCTTTAGAGTTTTCACTACGCCTGATTCTTTCCCTAATCTTGAACGTTTCATTCTTGACAGATCTTAACTACACACTGCAAGTGCGAGGTATCACAGAGAGCTCGAATCAAGAAAGCCTCTTTTCTACACTATGTCACAGAATTATTACCCTCCCCCTTGGTATACTACTACAAATATACCAAGTGTACCAAGCGCTACAGCAAGCGCCACGACTTTGATAATCGTCTGTAAGTCATCGAACAAAAAGAGAGAGTATATGACTTTGATAAAAATTGTTACGTTTTCAATGATATTTATTACAGTTGGTTTGATTAAAAAATTTAATGATTTGAAATGTTGTTAATTGCAGATGTAGTATCCAGCTTTGTAGTGTTCGCAACAATTATTGTAATAGTTATTGTTATCTATTACAAATGTGCAAAGACAGCAAGCAAAATTCTTGTCCAAGATTTCAGGCCAGTTGCTTTTACACCACCATCATTTAGATTGCCACCAATTACACCACCACCACCACCATCAAAAAACAAGCCCATCCGGCGGCCTACCGAAACGGTTCGGGTTAGGGAGGCCACTGCTACGTCCATGGAGAAGTTCCTCCAAGAAATAGAAGCCGCGAAGCCTGTCAGATTTACCGCAGAGCAACTAAAGAAATTTACAGATGATTACAAAACTGGGCTCGGTGCTGGAGGTTTTGGGGAAGTCTACAAGGGACAGTTTCCAGATGGAGTAAGAATTGCAGTAAAGATTCTTAGAAAGAGTTTAGACAAAAGAGATGAAGAGCAATTCATGGCAGAAGTGGGCTCAATTGGAAGAACTTATCACATAAACCTGGTTAGGCTTTATGGATTTTGCCATGACAGAAACATGAATGCGATTGTATATGAGTACATGGAAAACGGATCCCTGGACAAATACTTGTTCAAAGAGAGTAAAACAAAAGCAATCAAATGGGAGAAGTTACATGAAATCGCGATCGGGACAGCTAAAGGCTTAGCATACTTGCATGAAGAATGCCAAAACAAAATCATTCATTATGGCATACAGCCTGAAAACATTCTACTAGATGAAAATTTCATTCCAAAAGTAGGTGATTTCGGACTTGCAAAGCTTTGTCATAGAGATAGCACTCATGTTACACTCGCAGCAAATAATTGGGGAACTCGTGGCTACTCAGCACCAGTAATCTCGTTCAAGAATCATCCAATAACATATAAGTGTGACGTATATAGCTTTGGAATGGTATTGTTTGAGATAGTTAGTGGGAGAAGAAATACAATTGTTCATTCTTCTCGGGATAGCCTTGATTTTTTTCCTCAACATGTTTGGGAAAAATATGAAAAAGGTGAATTGGGTTCAATGGCATTAGCCTGTGGGATTGAAAAGAAAGACAAAGTAGAGAGAATGTGTATGGTGGCATTGTGGTGTGTACAAAACTTGCCTCAGGCGAGGCCACAAATGAGTGCTGTGGTGAAGATGTTGGAGGGAGGAGTGGAGATTTTGCCACCTCCAAAACCATTTCAGTATTTGTTCCCGGTTAGGGCGGCTGCGCTTAATCCAATACTAGAAAGTACTAGTGATGGTTCAAGTATAGGCACAAGTGAAGAAAGTCAGTCCCGCTGGTACAAGGAGTACACCACTCCAATCATGGCTAAGTATGAAATAGAGATAGCTACTTCTCGATAATAACTCAGCCAGTAGTAGTTCTGCGAAACTGCAGAGTCTTATTATTGTAAAGCTTATATTTGGTGTATCTTGTATTTATTTCTTTACCTATATATCTTAAATAATTTATCATCTTATGTTCAAATAAATCAAAGAATATGAATCATATTTGAACGAAATAGAGACAGCAGCGAGAACAAAAATAACAATAAAGCAAATCACAGATAATAAACACAGAGAAAATGTTAGACCGATCGTCAGAGTTTAAAAATTAAACCTAAATACCATAGTAGCGGTAAGCAGGATCGAATCCACAGGGAGCAAGACTAACAACCTAATGTAGTTTAAGTAGCGGAAATGAAATTGGCAAAATGATTGATGAAACTAAATAGACTAAATGCAAATAATGAAATAGTGAAATTAAAACAAATAAAGACTTTATAATAAAAATGTTGCCGTTACGGTTTTGGTTCGACACGAGACCGACTTACACAATTCTCCTCCACCCTCTATGATCCCCTAAACCTACAAGGCAAGGTAAATCAATGAAATGGTTTCTCGACACTCTAGGTATAATCTATCCTGTCTCACCCGATCACTCAAGTTCGATTGGTTAAAGACTATCATTGAATGTCGATAAACGCTACAAGGCAATACCACTAGTTGGTACGCGATTAACAAATACAATTTGTCAACACGTAATATCCAATCAACCAACTTCACAACAAACGCAACAATAGTAGAAATTAAACTAAATCCGAACACAACTCAATTACAATCGATGCGAAGTAATGAAAAGCAATATTTATCATTTAATTATTCCAAACCAACGTTTATCATTCAGCAAGTTCTATGAAAACATTAAATCATAATGGACAACAATATTCATCACAAATTATGCTCAAATCATATTAAAGTATCGAAATCAATCATGAAACAAAAACAAATATAATCTGAAGCACAATACTACCAAATGTCTTATAATCGGGCTCATCCAACTAGTCGAGAGCTGATGAGGATAGTCGTGGAGTCAATCCCGATCTCGCCTTTGCCGTAACAGACAACCGGGAGCTTAGCCGCTAATGGTGGTGATGACGGAGGCCAAAACGGTGGAAACGGAGATGACCATGGCGGAGAGGAGGTAACCGACAGCGATATGATGCGAAGAAGGGGTGAAAACGACCAACGAACAGCCCGGAATACGAACAGCTGCGGTTCGCCGGAAAACGTTAATTTTCCGGCGGGTCTCCAGAAAACGGTGGCGGAAATGGGATCCGAAGGTACCGATGGAAAGCTCTGGTAATGGGGAGTTCAGATCAGGTCCTGGGGAGGTGAGAAGTAGCTGGAAATGAGCAGGATCTGGCCTAGAATATGAAGAGTCGCGGCGGCTAAATCACGGATTCCGGCGGTTTTCGGGGCGGCTGAAGCTAGGGAAGTGTAGATCCGGCTGTGGGGAAGGTGGAACGACCCTTGGGGAGCCGAATTGTTGTCGGAAAACGGCCAAAAGTGGCCGGGAAGACGAAACGACGCGGTGGAGGGAAGACGAAACGTCGCGGCAGCTTCCGTGTTTCGCGGTGGTGGTCCGGGACGATGGGATGACGGTGATCTGTGGTTGAGGAAGCCGAAGAGTCGCCGGAGGTGGAAGACGAAGGGTCGCCGGAAAACTTTCTAGATGGCAGCCTCCTGTTCATGCGATCTGCACTTTTTGTTTTATAGAACAAATTGCAAAATTTAGTTTAGTCCCTAGACAATTGAAAAGTGACAAAATCAGCCCCTTAAAATATGACATTTTACCCCCTAAATAGCATAAATGAGACAAAATCACCCTTAATCCATAAACCACAACCCAATATCAACTCATATACTTTCCAAAATCATTCCAAACACGTTAAATTTATAAGAAAAATATTGGGAAGCGATTTTCGTGAATGAATTCATAAATTCTTTAATTGTCTCAATATACTTCAATTTAATCACACATGGGGTATTTTTATCACCAAAATAGAGTCACTTTCATGACTCTAACAGAAAATAACACGCATGATATACCCTGGTTCACCCAATATGGGCTACATCCAGCCGAGTCAATATTATTGTAATATTTCCTCACCTCTCTCTCGTTTATAATGAATGAATTGCCCTATGATTTACTATTACACTCATAACAAGAGGAAAATATGTTTATATATTAGGTTAAAGTATGTTTATATATTAGGTTTAAGTGACAAAACTTAGTTTACAAGGATTCCTATTCCTAAACCGAACCCAATAAGGAATTAATAACTTAAAGAAATCTTACAGCGGTTATACATGGAAAATGCCCAAACCGCCTACGGGCCCGGGGGTGCTGCCCCCACGACCCACACCCGCTCACCGGGGAGTGGGGCCCCCGCCCGTTGACCGGGCAGCGAGACTCCCAAATACGTCTGCGTAACCCAATAATTCTGAAATAGTCGACAACTCCAACAATCTGTGTTTGATCTGTCTTCATCTTTCACTTACTACTATTTATACGTTATTTTCAGAGAATGTTTCTAGGTGTTTATAATTTTCTGACAGAAAAAAGGCAAACTTCAGAGGCTTTATTAACCAGAAAAAAAGGGGTCCGGATCTCCTACGGGATTGACCCCAAAAAACGAAACGGTATGTAGCAAGAAGTGGTCAATGTTAAATATGCCCATCATTTGGATGTTTCCTATACTTTTGACTTGTTTTTCAACTATTTGTTCTGTCATTATTAGCAGGGGATGACATGGTACTAAGTAGCTATACAAATTTTGGGATCATTTTTCTGAACTCTTTTGGTCAACTGACAAATATTAGATATGATTTGCGCAGAGTCTCTCAATTATATAGGGACGGAACCATCTGTATATAACGAATTTATTGAACTGCCTCTCAATAGTTCATTTGTCTGTTTTCAATTGCGAAAAGAAGTAGAAGTTGCTTCAAATGTCAGTGTCAGTGCACAGGTTCTTGGTCATCTTCAAATTCAATTTCGACGTGTAGTGCTTACAGTCACACATTTAATTGTCCTTAATTTACAAGAAAATTCCTCTTCTTAAATTCACCCTGTCTTCGTTGAATCTTCCTCCTTTGTCTGTAAATTTATTTGTTGAATATATAGGACCTTAGCTGGAGATATAAACTAAATAAAGTGAAAGAACTTGCAGAGGCATTTGCTGCTTTTGTTTTGAAGCTGAGTAAGTATGCTCATATGGTCATTACTTGTAATATTCCTTCACATTTATTTATATGCATAGAGATATTCATTCTCTTTACCTGACATTAGATTCTTTTTTTTTTTTTTTCCAGATTTTAATCACTTGTTATTTATGGCAATATATCATAAAATTTTTAAAAATTTAAATGAAATCAAATCAGAAGGGTTATCCAATTATTAACCGATAGAAAGCAATGACGATTCTGATAATGATTCAATAGCCATATGTAAGTTGTTATATTATAAAATATGATATAGAATGGATTGCAAATTAATTATAGCAGAGGTTAAAATCTAAATATTGTTTTGAAATGATGTTAATTGCAGCTGTAATAGTGACTTTGGTGGTGTTTGTGATAATTGGTGTCATCTCTTGCTATTGTGCAAAGAGAGCAAGAAGAGCAATTACACAAGAATTGCAAACAGCTGTTCGCGCTGCATCGACCAACACACAGTACACAAACACTCCCCACAATGCAGTTCAAGTTTGGGAGGTTATTGCTCCCACCATGGAGAATTTCCTCCAAGAAATGGCAAGGGAGAAGCCTGTTAGATTCACAGCACAGCAGCTATATTCATTTACCAGCAATTACTCAACTAGGTTGGGTTCTGGAGGTTTTGGGGCAGTCTACAAGGGTCGGTTTCCAAATGGAGAGAGGATTGCAGTAAAGGTTCTTAAGTGGAGTGTAGACAAAAGAGCAGAAGAGCAATTCATGGCAGAAGTTGGCACAATTGGAAGAACTTACCACGTAAATCTGGTCAGACTTTATGGTTTTTGCCATGACCAGTACATGAGTGCGCTTGTCTATGAGTACATGGAAAATGGTTCGCTTGACAAGTACTTGTTCAGCGAAACACAAACAATTGAATGGGAGAAGTTACATGAAATTGCAATCGGAACAGCCAGAGGTTTAGCTTACTTGCATGAAGAATGCCAGCAAAGAATCATTCATTATGATATAAAGCCTGGAAATATTCTGCTAGATGAAAATTTCTTTCCCAGAGTAGGAGATTTCGGACTCGCAAAGCTTTGTAATAGAGACAACACACATGTTACACTCACAGGATATAGGGGCACTCCTGGCTATTCAGCACCAGAATTCTTGTTAAAGAATCATCCAATAACACATAAATGTGATGTATATAGCTTTGGAATGGTACTGTTCGAGATAATTGGTCGGAGAAAAAATGCAAGTGTCGGTTCTACTGATAGCCTTGATTGGTTCCCTAAACATGTTTGGGAAGAATATGAGAAAGGTGAACTGGGTGCAGTGACATTAGCTTGTGGTATTGAAGAGAAAGACAAAGAGAAAGCAGAGAGAATGAGTAAGGTGGCATTGTGGTGTGTACAGGACTCGCCAGAGGGCAGGCCACCAATGAGTGCTGTGGTAAAAATGTTAGAGGGAGGAGGGGAGATTGTGCCACCTCCAAAACCATTTCAGTATTTGTTCTCAGTTGGCATGACAGCCCTTAATCCACTAGAAACCAGTGATGGTTCAAGTTATACCACAAGCGAAGAAAGTCAGTCTCGCTGGTACAAGGAGACCACTCCAATCATGGCCAAGTATGAAATCCAGATGGCTAGTTCTGCTTAATAAATAACTAAGCCAGTAGTGCCCCCAAAAGGACAGAGGTCCGGTTATAGCAACGCTTACATTTTGTATTTCTTGTACTTGCTGCTTCATCATTGTTTCAGTATTATTAAAAAAGTGGATAATTTGTTTTATTTGTCCTGGGTTTGTTCAATTATTTTGTCTGACTATCAAAGAGGCAGCAGGTTTCAGCGTTGCGCTAACCATCTGGGTTTGATTTGTCTTCAACTTTCACTTCGTACCAATTTTATGTCATTTTCAATGAATGTTTTAGGTGTTATCAGTAATTAATTTCCAGACAGAAATTTGTAAATTTGTCGAAGCTTTATTAAGCAAGAAATGATCAGTGTTAAGTATTGCCCATTTGATTGTTTCCTATACTCTTTGACTTGTTTTTAACTCTGTTCAGTCATTTTTTCTCTTTAACTTTTTTGGTCAAATTCAATTTCCACAAGGCTAGTCCCCATATATTGAATTTGCAGAGGAAAAAAATGAATTCAACTTAATTGTACAAGAAACTTCCTCTTCTTGATGAGAAGATATGTTTTAATCTTTGTTGAATCTTCCTCTTTTATCCTTAAAGATATTTAGCCCCTTGGTCGGAAATGTATATGCAATTAAAAAAGGTGAAGAAATTTGTTCAGCAAGCTGCAGAGGCTTTTGCTGCTGAGTAGTAAACAGCCATATAGATTATGGATTACTAATAATATTATCTCTTGCTATTGTGCAACCAGAGTTAGAAGGGCAATTGTAAAAGATTTGGGAACAGTCATTGTCGCTGCATCAACCAACACACACACTCCCTCCAACGTGATTCAAGTTTTGGATGTTACTGCTCAAACGATGGAGAATTTCCTCCTAGAAATGGAAAGGGAGAAGCCTGTTAGATTCACAGCACAACAGCTAGATTCATTTACAAGTAATTACTCAACTAGGTTCGGATCTGGAGGTTTTGGATCAGTCTTCAAGGGTCAATTTCCAAATGGAGAGAGGATTGCAATAAAGGTTCTTAAATGGAGTGTGGACAGAAGAGCTGAAGCGCAATTCATGGCAGAAGTGGGTGCAATTGGAAGAACTTACCATTTAAATCTGGTTAGACTTTATGGTTTTTGCCACGACCAGTTCATGAGCGCGCTTGTCTATGAGTACATGGAAAATGGTTTGCTTGACAAGTACTTGCTCAGCTAGATGTAAACATAATTGAACCATAAAGCACATCTGAATTGCATAGAATCAAATCAGTATTGAAGAAACCCTAAATTTGATAAGAACCCTAATTTGATATTGTAACTTTAATTATGCAATATATAAACAGTAAATTATATATACATATCAATCAATTGCATACTCTTGCATTCACATCAATAAATCAATTCATTCTATACCCTGATTGTGGATAAACATAAATCCCAGGAACTTGAACTTAATGATTTTCACAATAATAATGTAATAGGACAATTAATGCATACCTTGATCAGTGAATATTCTTGAACTTATCTTGATTTGCACTTGAAACGATGTTCCCCTCCCTTAGTTCCTTCAATGAAGACAATGGTTCTTGATGGAATAGAAAACTGTAATCTATGATTTATATAGAATAGAGAAAGGACCGGTTTCTAATTGCAGAATTCAGTTGCAATACACCTTCTATCAAGATCTCTCCCTCATTAAACCAATATCCACACATATATAATTTCGGACTTGCAAAGCTTTGTTATAAAGACAGCACACATGTTACACCCACAGGATATAGGGGCACTCCTGGCTATTCAGCACCAGAATTCTTGTTAAAGAATCACCCAATAACACATAAATGTGATGTATATAGCTTTGGGATGGTACTGTTTGAGATAATTGGTAGGAGAAGAAATACGAGTCTTGGTTCTACTGACAGCCTCGATGTTGTTTCCTAAACATGTTTGGGAAGTATATGAGAAAGGCGAAGTGGGTGCAGTGACATTAGCTTGTGTGATTGAAGAGAGAGAGAAAGAGAAAGCAGAGGGAATGTGTAAGGTGGCATTGTGGTGTGTACAAGACTCACCAGAGGCGAGGTCACCAATGAGTGCTGTGGTGAAGATGTTGGAGGGAGGAGTGGAAATTGTGCCACTTCCAAAACCATTTCAGTAGGGATGGCAGCCCTTAATCCACTAGAAACTACTACTGATGGTTCAAGTTATAGCACAAGTGGACAAACTCAGTCTCGCTGGTACGCAGACACCACCCCAACCATGGCTAAGTATGAAATACAAAGGCCTAGTTCCTGATAATAACTAAGCCAGTAGTGCCACTACAAGGGCAGGGTTCCGGTTATAGCAAAGCTTATATTTTGTATTTCTTGTAGTTACTGCTTCATCATTGTTTATAGGATTATCGAAAAAGCTGATATTTTGTTTTATTTGTCCTAGTTTTGTTCAACTGTTTTATNTCACAAATCGATTTGTCTGCACTTACTTCAGAGAATAGAAGTGCCGTTAAGTCCACAGTGGCTGACAAGGTAGAAGCTACCACGATAGACAAAGTACTCAATTCTACAAAATCAGTAGATGCATCTTTAAACTTGGTCACAGGAGTAACTACTTCATATGGCTTACCAGGTGTGATATTTTTCCCGGTTTTAGTGTAAACTTGGTATTTATAGAATTTTTTTCAACAATAGCAGGGTAAATGGTCTGATTTTAAATTTATTTCTCAGAATCTAGAGAAATTATAATGTAGATAATCTAAGACATGAAACCTTAATTTTTGCCCCTTCAGTTTCACAGGTGACTCAAGACTTGTTACAAAGTGAACCTTTGCCACCAAATCAAGCTAGTTTTATTTCTGAACAAAACAAGGTAACAGGGGAGGATGCTGTGTCTTACGCTTTTGTCTTATCATTATCTTTACTTGTTTACGTACAATAAAATTTCAGTAATCTGATGTCTTTAACATTTTTCTTCAGCTTCACACGAAGGACTTGGAAGATGTCCAAACCACTGAGGAAACTAGAGGTGCATCTTGTAAACCTTATCAAATATGGGCTCTATTCCTGGCATAAGGAAGTGCCGCTTTATTATAGGATAATATTGTGTAAATTGGTTGATATAACCATTTGTTACCTAATGGCTCAGTTTTGTGGGGGAAAAGGAGTTCTGTGTGGGAACAATTGAAATAGATATTCTTTATATGATTAGAACCTAGAATATATTTACATGTGTTTTTTTTTTTTTGGCTAATTTTTTTCCTCCAGTATTTTTCCGCACTAACGAAATTTGCCTAATTTTGTTTATTTGGTTGCACAGAAGGGAGACCAAGCTCTGAACAGAGACTTCAACCACCGGAAGAATTCAACACTGTATTACAAAGGTTGGTTTTTATTTTCCCCCCAGACAGCAGTGTCATCATGCAAATTTTCATAACTATCGTTTCAATTTTCCTTTTCTCCTGTTTTGTGTTTCATGAGCTTGTAAATTTCTTGATGCATTTTTATTCTCTTTAAGACCAGTACTCGGATTCTGTTTGTGGTTTAATTCATATTGCTGAACAACCGACTCCCCAGCCATCCCCACTTCCTAAAAAGGCTATATCTTGCATTCAACTTACCAATTATTTTGAGAAGCTTGCAAAATGGCGTGGTACTAGCATGGATACTTTTGCAAGTATATGTGGTAGATGCTATGCTTCTTAATAGTTCTCGTACATATCTGATGAAATTCATTACAAATTTGTTCATGAAATATGATTGAATGACCAAAAAAATAAAAGATACTAATCAAGTACAGTAAGTAATAGAACTAGAACTCTTCACTTTGAAATTTAATCTCTCTAGTGTCCATTGATGATCCAAAAGGCCTGAGGGTGTAGCTTCAAAGTACATAAGTTAGTTTTAGTGGTTTTGAAATTAATCCTGCATATCTATACTCAAGNTTTTGAAATTGACATTTGAAATGTGGTTGACTTCCCCTGCAGTGAAATTGTCCAAATTTTTTTATTTTCTGGTCCACACAAAAAAGGAACATAAAAATATATGTTCTTTTTCTTGTTTTTCATTAATATGTGTTTAGTATTTTTTTTTTTTTTTTTTAAATTTTGGGAATGTAAGTGAATTGTATTTTCACTGGCCAAGGAAATCCTTGTGTCACTTCTGTGTTATGGTATATTTGTTTGAGACCTGGTGGAAACCTCACTGCCTCACCTTGTCTAGAAAAGGCAGAGTTAAAAACAGTTGAGATTAAAAATTAAAGTTGTAAATGTAATGCCATTTGCATCTCTAAGTTGATTTTCCTGTTGCAGGGCTCTGATGGTGAAGCAGGTTCTCCAGTTGATGTGGCCAAATCATATATGCGAACGCGTCCACCATGGACTTCTCCATCTGGGAACCGTACTGAATATCAATTACCATCACCAACTAGGATACAGCTTTTTAAGGACGAAACACCATATTCAATCGGTTTCTCTTCTTTGTCATCCAAGGTTTTCTTTTCTTTTCTTTCTTTTTTTTTTTTTCCATAAATTCATTGGTAATTTCATTCTTTTATTTTTTTTTATGATGAACAGTAATTAAGCTTTGATGCTAGGAACTGATTCTCTTAAGTGAAGTTGGCTTATAAGTTGTGGAGAAAGTTTTGGCATTATGTTAAATTGGTGAACATATATCTGAATTACAGAATTCATTTATGTGAATTTCAGGATGCTAGGAAGACGTTGAAATCATTGGAATAAACTTAAAAGGTTTAAATTTATTTACTGATAGATGCTAGGGTGATTGCAATTTTTGAGAAAGCTGGTTATATGATTAAACCTGTTATCTACTTCCTGAATTTGTTGAAATGATGTTGGGCTAGGGTCCTACGACAATGTACTGTAGTATTTGAAGTTACATATGTGTGGCAAATATGAATTGTTGTTAATTACCATTTCAGAATTGAAATTTTTTTACCCAAAAAGAACAGATAAATAAATGAATAATTGAAGTCCTTTGACTAAGCCAAGTTATCTGGTATTCTTTATTAATCTTAATTTTTTTTTTTTTTTTCTCTGATTGGGGAAAACACTAATGAAAAATGTAGATCTGACGTTGTTTTTCCTTCCTACATGCTGACTATTTTTATTTTTATATTGTTCTGAAAATAAATGTAGGTAAAATGGGATTCTCCTGCCTCTGGTTCATGGGATATCACAGAGGAGTTACGAAAAGTGAGATCCAAAGCAACAGAAGAGATGCTAAGGACTCTACCGTCATCACAAATCGATTTGTCTGCACTTACTTCAGAGAATAGAAGTGCCGTTAAGTCCACAGTGGCTGACAAGGTAGAAGCTACCACGATAGACAAAGTACTCAATTCTACAAAATCAGTAGATGCATCTTTAAACTTGGTCACAGGAGTAACTACTTCATATGGCTTACCAGGTGTGATATTTTTCCCCGTTTTAGTGTAAACTTGGTATTTATAGAATTTTTTTCAACAATAGCAGGGTAAATGGTCTGATTTTAAATTTATTTCTCAGAATCTAGAGAAATTATAATGTAGATAATCTAAGACATGAAACCTTAATTTTTGCCCCTTCAGTTTCACAGGTGACTCAAGACTTGTTACAAAGTGAACCTTTGCCACCAAATCAAGCTAGTTTTATTTCTGAACAAAACAAGGTAACAGGGGAGGATGCTGTGTCTTACGCTTTTGTCTTATCATTATCTTTACTTGTTTACGTACAATAAAATTTCAGTAATCTGATGTCTTTAACATTTTTCTTCAGCTTCACACGAAGGACTTGGAAGATGTCCAAACCACTGAGGAAACTAGAGGTGCATCTTGTAAACCTTATCAAATATGGGCTCTATTCCTGGCATAAGGAAGTGCCGCTTTATTATAGGATAATATTGTGTAAATTGGTTGATATAACCATTTGTTACCTAATGGCTCAGTTTTGTGGGGGAAAAGGAGTTCTGTGTGGGAACAATTGAAATAGATATTCTTTATATGATTAGAACCTAGAATATATTTACATGTGTTTTTTTTTTTTTGGCTAATTTTTTTCCTCCAGTATTTTTCCGCACNTATAGTCCATATTATTGGTCAAACTCCATCCTGGCGTCATTGTTTCATTACAATCTGCAACTCCATTTTCAAAAACAAAAGATTCTTGTCATGATCGAATATTAAAACATAAGAGGAGGTTTTTTAGTTGATGAATATTCCGCATGATTCATGACCCAAAGATAGCAACTTCAGGATTATCTTATTGTCTTCTACCCAATTTGAATTTTTTTTTTTCCTTTTCCCTTTTTATATATGCAATGAGTTTTAGAACTTAATTAGAATTCATTTGTATATTTTAGATAAGAAAGCTTAAAGAATTAAAACAGTCTGATGACACTGAAACTTTCTTTGAGATATTATAGATAGTGCCTCTTGGAAGCCGAGTTCCACAATTGAAATGATCTCAGTTCGTAAGTTTGGATTTCACATGTTACGCTAATTACACTCGGAGGCATTACAGGAAAGTATAAAAGTATGTATAATAATGTACTGGACTAGGCACTAGTGCATTTTAAAGCACTTGGCTCTAATTACTCTTTCACCTAGGCAAAATATCAGAAATTGTTAAGCGATTAGAAGAGCGATTGTTATCTTTCATTTGATAATCATCCGTAAATCTTCCCACTAAGAGGGCAGGTCTTTCAGGTTGTCGAAGAGTTATGTTTTCCCCTTTCAGCATTACAACAACAGAAGACATTGTCGGCCTGTCAAAAGGATCCTCTTGAACGCACAGCAAACCAATATTCAAGTATCTTAAAAATTCATCAGGATCGTTTGTATCAGTCAGTACTGGATCCATTAAAGCCAATGCATTTCCTTCATTCCTAGCTACTACAACAAAAATGACATACGGTAACACTGGACAGTAGCACTTTTCCTTAAAATGTTACTATAGACTATCTATGGTAACACTTAATGTTAAAATGTTACAACAACAATTTTTATATGTAACACTTTAACTTTTTATAACACAATTTATATCAATGGTAGCTCTTTTTTGTAAAATGTTACTAATATAGGAACTACAGTAGCATTTTTAAAGTGTTACAATAGACCTAATAATATAGTAGCTTTTTTATACTGTTACCATATAATCAAAATACAGTAATATTTTATAAGTGTTACCATAAACCCAATTATTTACCGGGAAAAAAAATATCATTTCCGCCAACATGAAATGAGGTTGATTTTGTCTCATTTTTATTGTTTAGGGGTCAAACCAACTTATTTTGGGTCTATTTTGTCACTTTTCATTCATGTAGGGATCCAACAATGTTTTACATATACTCAAATATTAACCGGCAAAATAACACTTAATACCGCCAACTCAAAGTTTCCCAAAATTTCCTAGCTAATACCCTCATAACTCATTCACATCGAAGACAATTCTTTAGTTTGAGTTCCAGAGTTTGCCTTTTCCTTTCTTAACCCTTGTTTGTTTCCCTAGAAAAAGAATTTCCCACCCATTTTGCGACAAAACCTTGCTGCTGAAAACCCATTTTGCAACAATCAATCTTCTTCTCAAATATTCTCAATCAATCTTCTAATTGCTCTTTTCTTCTCAATCTTCTTCTCGTTGGAATTCGTCTAATTGCTTTGTTCTTCTCAATCTTCTTCTCGTTGCGATTAGGGCAAAAGGTTTTAGGGTTTAATCAATCTATCTTCTTCTTCTTGTGATTAGCAAACACTAACATTCCAACATTGGTCAGCTCTCGGCAAGCTTGGAGCTTCAAGCGCCTGAGGTTTCGACACTTGAGAGATATTAAAACAAGTGCATCATCCCCAGTGCCGACGGATCTATGGTCACATTTGAGATTTGATTTGGCATTGAGAGAGAGATGGTGACGACTTTGTCCCTTGATTCTGAGCAAGCGACGACATACTAGAGAGCATCTTTTGCGATCACCGGAGCTAAGAGACTGGAAAATGCAAGCCAAGCACTCTCTGGGCAGATTTGAGATGAAATCAGACACTTCGTCGACATGTTCATGTGCAACAATGTTGTACTTTTTTCTTTCTCAAAATTTCTTTGATTTGCAGGCTGTTTTGTCTGGGGTTTTTCAGCTATCAAACTCAACTTTAACATGAGATATTGAAATTTCTGTTCTTTTTTTTTTTTTTTTTTTTTTTTTTTTTTTTTAAATGTGATGTTTTGATAAACGAATATTTAGATGTTGATAGTTTAATGACTGAATGGATTTTTAAACAGGAGTTCGAGCCCACGAAAATTGAGTTGCTGGAAGATGACGAGGTTTTGTTGTTGGAGTTTTCCGGGAACCTTCCAGTTGGGATGGGTGTTTTGGCTATTGGATTTGAGGGAATGTTAAATGAAAAAATGAAAGGATTCTATAGAAGGTGACTGATTCAAACTTTTTTCTTGGTTGTTTACAAATTACATAATATGCATTGAGAAAAGTAAATGGATATTGCATATTAAAATCAATAAATTGATTCACTTTTGTATTGCAATGTGAATTGGGTTTTGTTCAATTGCTAGAAAATGTAGAACAAGGAATTAAAGTAAATTTTAATCTGGAAGTTTAAGTTATTGAAGATATTTTGAACGAAACTGGGAGGGAAAATTCTTTAAAAGATGATTTTGAACTTATAGATTTTTTGTTTTTATAGATTTATTGTCAACAATAGCAGGATAAATTGTCTGATTTTGAACTTATTTTACTTTTCAGAATCTAGAGAAATTATAATGTAGATATTCTAAGACATGAAACCTCAATTTTTGCCCCTTCAGTTTCACAGGTGACTCAAGACAGGTCGCAAAGTGAACCTTTGTCACCAAATCGAGCTAGTTTCATTTCTGAACAAAACAAGGTAACAGGGGAGGATGTCGTTTCTTATGCTTTTGTCTTAATATTATCTTTACTTGTTTACATACGATAAAATTTCAGTAATCTGATGCCTTTAACATTTTTCTTCGGCTTCACACAAAGGACTTGGAAGATGTCCAAACCATGGAGGAAACTAGAGGTGCATCTTGTAAACCTTATCAAATATGGGCTCTATTTCTGGCATAAGGATGTGCCGCTTTATTATAGGATAAGATTATGTGAAATGGTTGATATAACCATCTATTACCCAATGGCTCAGTTTTGTGGGGAAAAGGAGTTATGTGTGGGAACAATCGAAGTAGATATTCTTTATATGAATAGAACCTACAATATATTTACATGCACTTATTTTTTTGGCTAATTTTTTTCCTCCAGTATTTTTCCGCACTAACGAAATTCGCCTAATTTTGTTTATTTGGTTGCACAGAAGGGAGACCAAGCTCTGAACAGAAACTTTAACCACCAGAAGAGTTCAACACTGTATTACAAAGGTTGGTTTTTATTTTCCCCCCAATCAGCAGTATCATCATGCAAATTTCCGTAACTGTCATTTCAATTTTCCTTTTCTCCTGTTTTGTGTTTCATGAGCTTGTAAGTTTCTTGATGCATTTTTTTTTTCTTTAAGACTAGTACTTGGATTTTGTTTGTGGTTTAATTCAGAATGTTGAACAACCAACTCCCCAGCCATCCCCACCTCCTAAAAAGGCTATAATTTGCATCCAACTTACCAATTATTTTGAGAAGCTTGCAAAATTGCATGGTACTAACATGGATACTTTTGCAAGTATCTGTGTTATATGCTATGCTTCTTAATAATTCTTTGTACATATGATGAATTCGTTACAAATTTACCAATGGAATATGATTGAATGACCAAAAAAATAAAAGATACTAATCAAGTATGGTAAGTAATAGAACTCTTCACTTTGAAATTTAATCTCTCTAGTGTCCATTGATGATCCAAAAGGCCTGAGGGCGTAGCTTTAAAGTACTTTAGTTAGTTTTAGTGGTTTTGAAATTAATCCTGCATATCTATACTCTAGTGTTTGGCAAGGTTAATTGTCATTTCTCTTCTGTAATTTTATGTCTTAGTGATGCTGGTACTGCCAATGTTGATGGCATTAAGGATACAAATGGGACTACACAACTGTGTGACTCTAAAATAAGTGAAACTGCTCAAGGTAAGACTTAAAAACCCACCTGTTTTAATTTGTATGGACCATTTATTGATTTTACTATGTACTAAGAGTTTTCCATTGTAATGTTTTGGTGGGGTTAAGGGGTAATGTTGGGGTGTGATTCTTATTCTGGTTTGTCGGTTGAGGGTTTAAAGCTCATCTTGCCCCTCAATGCAATTTCAGATGTAGGATTACATGACCAAAACTATTCAGCATCAAAAAAGATTGTTGGAAAAGGTGACTCATTTACTCCTAATGGTTTCCCTCCTTTAGGATCTTGGTAAATGCTTGTTGATACCCATTACTTGCCCATTTTCAATGTCAAATTGTGCCAATTAAATTTTAATAAACTGTTATCCACTACTTCAGTTTATCCACTGGACAGGATAGAGAACAAAACGACCAGCCATCTGATGTGAAACAGAATCCAATTGGTTCAGGCCATGACAAAGTTACTTCTAGTGTTCCTAGGGGGAGATTTGTGCATTTTTTAGTGAAGTTTTGGTTGAAGTACCAATTACATGTGAAATCAATATCACTAACACTGGCTTTGAAAACAGTTCAAAGCACAGTGTAGCGGGCAAGACAAGTGATGCCACAGAGAAGCAACCGGCAAGGAAACTAAGCAGAATTTTCATGGTGGTTTTTGTTAGAATTTTTTGAATGATTGAGAAGTATTAACTATTGTTCATAGTTAATTTTCCAATCATCTAGGTATTAGATTGCATGGATGTAAAGGATGTTGGATGCCTATTTATTAGGCATATATGCAAACTTTTTGTATATGGAGGTTCACCATCAATGAAATGTTTGAAAAATTAATGTATCATTGTTTATGATTTGTATTTTTAATATATGCTATAACATATACATTGATAGCACTTTCCTAATGTTATGAAAAATAATTTTGTAACATTTATAAAATGCAATGAATGATACTTTGGTAGCACTTTTAACATGTTATTAAAAACTCTTTTGTAGCATTTTACCAATGTTAAGAAAAATCAATCTACAACATTAATTATAACATTTTAAGAATGTTACAAAAAACTAAACTGTAATAGGTTAAGAATGTTACAAAAAACTTATTTATAGCATTTTGAGAATGTTACAAAAAACTTATTTATAGCATTTTGAGAATGTTACAGAAAACTTATTTATAGCATTTATATAGTGTTACCAAAAATTATTTGTAACTACGAATAAGTGCTACAATATATTTAACAACAGCATTTTATTGCAGTTACTGAAATGATTAGTAACATGCAAAAAGTGTTACCAATGTCTACTTTTTAGTAACATAGGCTGTCATAGCATCCTTATAAATGCTATCAATCACCTACGGTAACACTTTTTGCATGTTACTGTAGGTCATTTTTCTTGTAGTGTCCATTGTTGCAATGCCTGCATTATCATTTTGGTTTATATTGTTAACGATGTTATCAGTAGTAACACCTTAATTGATGTAAATTGCAGAGTAAATAAATATACATATGGTAGGAGACTAGGAGCATTTTTTGGTTTATGAAAGGCTGCGTTCCTCCTTCGGGTAATAATCTCAAGCACAAGCACTCCAAAGCTAAAAACATCAGACTTAATTGAATACAATCCCTCCATAGCATATTCTGGAGCCATGTAACCGCTATTCCCCAACAAAAATCATTATCACAAAATAATAATAAGTCAGGCATTAGCAACTCTCACATGGTCCATGTGTTTTTACATGTCAAATAATTTTTTAGAGTAAAAAATTAGAAAGGTTTAATTAGTACTACTTACTATGTTCCAAATATTCTTGCAGTATTAGCTTCTCCTTCACTACCTGCAAAGATTCTAGCCATTCCAAAGTCTGATATCTTCGGATTCATGTCAGGGTCCAACAACACATTGCTAGCTTTTAGGTCCCTATGAATGATTCTGAGTCTAGAATCTTCATGAAGATAAAGAATTCCCTTTGCAATTCCATTTACAATATTAAGACGTTTTCTCGAACTGAATTGAGCACGTTTTCTTGGATCTACCAATTAAATATTGTTTCCATAAATGAGCCAAACTGTAAGAATTTATCAGAAAGGGAAAAAAAAACATACCGAAAAGGTTTACATCAAGGCTGCTGTGTGGCATAAATTCGAAGACAAGCAGCTTTTCTTCTCCGTCTATACAAAAACCAAGAAGCCTAACCAGATTTTTGTGTTGTAGTTTCAGTATGAGTAGCACTTCATTTGTGAATTCCTCAGTACCCGGCTCAGAACAGCTGGAAAGCCTTTTCACTGCTACTTCCTTTCCATTACCTAAAGTACCCTGAAAAAGCCACTTCCTTCCATTAATTGAACAATCTATCAATTTCGACTTAATTCCATGGTTCAAATTTTTTGTATTCCTTTCTTAGACTTATATTATATATGCTATTACCTTGTAAACAGGACCAAAACCGCCTTGTCCTAGCATATTTGCATCTGAAAAATTATTAGTTGCTACTTGTATGGTTTCCAGATTAATATAGAATTCGTCAGCTTTTAGACGACTAATTGTCCCCTGAATATGTTGATAAAAGTCTGTTCCATTGTGGTCACCAGTATATTGAACTTGCATATTAACTTCACCCTTCCCTGAAACACATAAATAATTAAAAATGATGAACCGAAAAGAAGGTGATCCCAAAAAGAAAACAGAATATTAAACTTTGTTTAGAAAACATTCCAAGCATCAACTTTTCTTTTCCGACTCCGGTTTTTTGTTGCAATACAGTAGATAGTGAAAGGCAAGAGAGCCAACAATATAAGTAATACCAACACAATTGCCAGAATAAGCATCCATCTCTTCCTTTGCTTGCCTGCATTTGAGTGCATAAAATTTAAAACCCCTTTTTTAATTCATCAAGCACCACTATTGAAAACAATTTTCATGTCAGTCAACAGTCCTTACCTTTCCCACTCGCTTTGCTGCCATCAGATACACCTGCATAGAAGGCATATAACTCGTACCTCAAATAGCAACTACGACTAAAAAGCCGTGCTCCTAGTGAAAAGTAGCAGCAAGATGAAATATTTGCAATAGTAGTCTGGAGGCGTTTGTTACAATCATCAGCAGATAAATCTGTAGTGCACTGAACTAGAGCATATAAGGTATCCGTATCTGTAAAGGACACATTTCCAGTAACATACATCTGTGTTGAAGGATCAAAAGCTGCTTCCTCGGTGAGATTTCTTAGAATACTCTTCACAGCAGATCTATATCTTTCTGGTTCCGATATATTTAAGGGGTTGTGTTGGTTGAAGTTTCCTGTAAGGTCCAATCTGCCTAAGAAATTTTCATTAGAGTAACGCAATTGACAGCTTTCTTCCCACACAACCGCTTCGGTTTTCCCTGGACAAAGCTTGACAGCATCTTCTGCCGCAACTTTTATGCAGTTAATGCAAGCATAGTTTTGAACATAGTTGAGGCACATGTACTGTCCATAAACTCTATCCGAGTTATTTCCAGAAGAGGTATTGAATAACTTTGCGACGGAAGCGTTTGAAGTAATGGAGTTGAAGAGATTTTTGCGGTTATATTCGAATGGACTATTAGCTGAATAATTTGTAGTTTTTGGACAAAGGTGATAGGGAGGATCAGTACGAACAAGATCATAAAAAGTGGCTATGAGAGAATAATAAAGAAGTAGTTGAATAGTTCTTGTAAAGCTTAAGAAATGAACCATTTCTTGCATCTTGAAATGCTTGCACAATAATGCTAATGAATTATCTATATTTTGCAGCTAAATATGTGTAATACTTCTTGAACGAAACCTTTAACCTTAAGCAAACCATTTATTAGTTCATTGATATTTTCCTGGAAGTTTTAGGGAAAAATCATCGCAATGATTTTTCCAAAGGTCTCATTCATAAACCACCGTGGAAAAGTCAGATGTTGTGGAAAAGCATCAGCTTCTAGAGTTTGAGTGGGCATTGGACTATCATTCTAATCCAAATGACGTAAGATAAAACTAAACGTGACCCATTAATATGTCATTAAATTATATTTGGCTCATTAATATATAAATAATATTATTATGGTTTAATAATAAATTGAAGAATATCTAATTATTTATTTAAGAGTTACACACGTTGATGGAACGTATATTTGACGGAAATTTATTTCCTAGAAACTTGATCCTCTCTACCTATTAAAGAAAGTCAGAACTTACTTTATCCATCAATTTTAGCAAAACAAAATTTTGGAAAATTAAAGATAAGAAAGGAGAGAGAAACCAATGTCCTTAATCACAAAAATCATTATCAACTATTATCATCCCTCAAGGTATCTCTTTTCTAATTAACAGAACTTATTATTATTTTATAACATGTAAAATTCTTGAAATTCAAAGATTTTGCAATTTAATGTTTCATATAAACTTATTTACACATGGTATTAGAGCTTAAAGTTTAAAATTCATGAATTTTCTTGTTAAAACAAGTAATGAGAATTTTATATATGATTATAGTGTTTCTGTTTAAATATGATTTTTGGATGATTTTTCTATTTAAAAATTGATGATGATTGATGAGTAATGATGTTTGATGATTAATGATGACTAGAAAATGAAATGAATTTATGAGAGTTAAATCGAGTTCAAGACTTACAGTACTTCCAGAAGCAAGATTGTAGTGCTTAGGTTCGAATAAATATGTTTAAAAATTGTTATTTCACTTTTATGTTAATGATTATTATATATATGTTAATCCAAATGAAATGACTCTTCTTTCTACTTATTTACGTTCACTTAGGGTCTGCTTGAGAGTTTTTTTCACTGGTTTTAAGGTTTTTTAATTAAACTGGTTTTGAGGTGTTTAAAAACCATTACTTGTCAGATTTTTAATGGGTTGGTTTTAACTGGTTTAAACCCTCCAAAACCAGTGTAGTGTATTTTTGAGGGGTTTATAAAACACCCCAAATTGGGGTGTTTTGGTTGATTTAAAAATTTTATCCCAAAAAAACCCATTTCCACAATAATCCCTTTGCTGCTAAAACAAAAGTCATAGAGCCTCTTCGTTTGATTCTTCCTTCTCCAACTTCTTCAATTCCCACAACAAGGTTTGTTTCTCTCTTTTTCTCTCATTTTTTGTTTGGGTTTACCATGACATGCTTAAATGAGGGAAGGATTATTTGTTCTTCTTAATTGATTTGTCCTAGATTTGCAATAGGTTATTTTATTAATCACATTTGAGATGAATTACCACTTGTTTGAAAGGTTATACTTTTTGTTCTTTTGATCTCGTATTCTGCCGGCTGTATAATTGGATTAAGTTTAGAATTGCAAGCAAAAATTGTTTAGCTTGTTGAAGGTGAAAAGGACAAAGAAGCACGTGATAAGCAACAGGAGGTTTACTGGTTTAACAGTTTGCGTCGGTGGACAGGACTTTGTTTCATTGAATGTTGATCTATTATGATAATTATCCAACAAAACAAATTCTTTCTAAAAGCAATGGGGATGAAGGAGACTAATGGCTTTTTCAAGTCTTAATTTCAGCTAACAAAGTTATTATTTAAAGCACATAGATTTCTAAACCAAAAGAAAACAGAGGATATAGCTAAAGAGAGAGTGTTTTAACTTTGTTTGGTTGTGTTTGTGTGAAGAAAGCGAAAGATAGACAATATTGTAATTTATTGATTTGTATTTCTCTTCATTTAAATGTTTAAGTTGGAGTATTTTTATGGGTATTTATGTAAATTTATCATTTAAAAAACTGTCAGAACCGTTGAAAAATAAACTCCCAAACACAAATTGGATGTTTTAAAAACTGCTACTAAAAACCCTTCAAAACCGTTACGGTGGTTTACCTTCAAAACCACTATGATGGTTTACCCTCATAACCGTTACCATAAAACTCCCAAACAGACCCTTAGAGTATCTCTAAATGACTCTTTATATGACTCAAATTCTTTATTATAAAGAGTCTATCCATAAAAATAAGAGTTCAATATACTTTTTATCTTTTAAATATAAATTAAAGAGTGAGTTTGGCTCTCCACATCTAGAGAATCAAATTTCACTCTATATCTAATTTTAATTAATAAACTATAAGTTTTTATGTATTTTATTTATGAATTCTCTCTCCCATTAAGTCTCTTTCTTGAAAATAAAGAGCATTTTCATTAAATTTAAAGAGTTCATTAGATTTGAATAAAAAATTTGTTCTTTATATTTAAAAATTAATGAAAATATTATTTATTTATATAGAAGATGTTCTTTATTGGAAAGGTCTTATTAGATAAGACATGGTATGATTTGACAAAATAGAGCAGCCTGAAAGGAATGGCTTCTAATTGAGATACAGGGACATGTGTTGTTTGGAAGACACTGTAAGACCAGGAATTTAAGAGTTACAACGTATGTAAAACATATTCCAGACTTAAATTTGTAAATGGTTTCCTTGAAAGAGTAAAATACGAGTTTATTTCACATTAATAACCAATATGGGGTGTTTTTCTATGAATTTAGTTAGTGTTTCTAAAACTTCAAAATGATAAAATGATTGATATAAACAACGCCAATTCAAAAAATAAAAATGCATTTAACATGTTTGTTTGAAAAAAAAAAAAAAAAACACTTGTTATCATCAGTACTGGATCCATTAAAGCCAATGCATTTCCTTCATTCCATTGTTGCAATGCCTGCATTATCATTTTGGTTTATATTGTTAACGATGTTATCAGTATAACACCTTAATTATGTAAATTGCAGAGTAAATAAATTTACTATGGTAGGAGACTAGGAGCATTTTTTGGTTTATGAAAGGCTGCGTTCCTCCTTCCGGTAATATCTCAAGCAGGAGCACCCAAAGCTAAAAACATCAGACTTAATTGAATACAATCCCTCCATACATATTCTGGAGCCATGTAACCGCTATTCCCCAACAAAATCATTACCACAAAATAATAACAAGTCAGGCATTAGCAACTCTCACATGGTCCATGTGTTTTACATGTCAAATAATTTTTTAGAGTAAAAAATTAAAGGTTAAATTAGTACTACTTACTATGTTCCAAATATTCTTGCAGTATTAGCTTCTCCTTCACTACCTGCAAAGATTCTAGCCATTCCAAAGTCTGATATCTTCGGATTCATGTCAGGGTCCAACAACACATTGCTAGCTTTTAGGTCCCTATGAATGATTCTGAGTCTAGATCTTCATAGATAAAGAATTCCTTTGCAATTCCATTTACAATATTAAGACGTTTTCTCCAACTGAATTGAGCACGTTTTCTTGGATCTACCAATTAAATATTGTTTCCATAAAGTGAATTGAGGAGCCAAACTGTAAGAATTTATCAGAAAGGGAAAAAAAAACATACCGAAAAGGTTTACATCAAGGCTGCTGTTTGGCATAAATTCGTAGACAAGCGCTTTTCCTCTCCGTCTATCCAGAAACCAAGAAGCCTAACCAGATTTTTGTGTTGTAGTTTCAGTATGAGTAGCACTTCATTTGTGATTCCTCAGTACCCTGCTCAGAACAGCTGAAAGCCTTTTCACTGCTACTTCCTTTCCATTACCTAAAGTACCCTGAAAAGCCACTTCCTTCCATTAATTGAACAATCTATCAATTTTGACTTAATTCCATGGTTCAAATTTTTTGTATTCCTTTCTTAGACTTATATTATATATGCTATTACCTTGTAAACAGACCAAAACCGCCTTGTCCTAGCATATTTGCATCTGAAAAATTATTAGTTGCTACTTGTATGGTTGCCAGATTATAGATATTCGTCGCTTTTAGACGACTAATTGTCCCCTAAATTTTGATAAAAGTCTGTTCCATTGTGGTCACCAGTATATTGAACTTGCTATTAACTTCACCCTTCCCTGAAACACATAAATAATTAAAAATGATGAACCGAAAAAAGGTGATCCCAAAAAAAAAACAGAATATTAACTTTGTTTGAAACATTCCAAGCATCAACTTTACTTTTCCGACTCCGGTTTTTTGTTGCAATACAGTAGATAGTGAAAGGCAAGAGAGCCAACAATGTAAGTAATACCAACACAATTGCCAGAATAAACTCCACTCTTCCTTTGCTTGCCTGCATTTGAGCATAAAATTTAAAACCCCTTTTTTAATTCATCAAGCACCACTTTGAAAACAATTTTCATGTCAGTCAACAATCCTTACCTTCCACTCGCTTTGCTGCCATCAGATACACCTGCATAGAAGCATATAACTCGTACCTCAAATAGCAACTACGACTAAGACCCGTGCTCCTAGTGAAAAGTAGCAGCAAGATGAAATATTTGCAATAGCAGTCTGGAGCATTTGTATCAATCATCAGCAGATAAATCTGTAGTGCACTGAACTAGAGCATATAAGGTATCCGTATCTGTAAAGGACACATTTCCATAACATACATCTGTGTTGAAGGATCAAAGCTGCTTCCTCGGTGAGATTTCTTAGAATCCTCTTCAGCAGCATCTATATCTTTCTGGTTCCGATATATTTAAGGGGTTGTGTTGGTTGAAGTTTCCTGTAAGGTCCAATCTGCCTAAGAATTTTCATTAGAGTAACGCAATTGACAGCTTCTTCCCACACAACCGCTTCGGTTTTCCCTGGACAAACTTGACAGCATCTTCTCCGCAACTTTTATGCAGTTAATGCAAGCATAGTTTTGAACAATTTGAGGCACATGTACTGTCCATAAACTCTATCCGAGTTATTTCCAGAAGAG